CACCGCTCACTGCCACCTTGAATTCCTGGGCTTGAGGGATCATCCCACCTCAGCCTCCTGAGTTGCTAAGGCTACAGGTGCATGCCACCATGCCCGGCTTATGTTTTAATTTTTTGTAGAGATGGGGTCTTGCCATCTTGCCCAGGCTGGTCTTAAACTCCTGGGCTCAAGAGATTCCTCTTGGCCTCCCAAAGTGCTGGGATTACAGGTATGAATTACATTGAACCACACTGGGCTCAATGTCATTTTACTATAATGTTGATGAGAAAAAACATTGATTCCTAGCTGGGGCCACTGTCTGTGTGGAGTTTGTATGTCTTCCCCATGTCTGCATGGGTTTTCTCCAGACACTCCAGTTTCCTCTTCATCTCAAAGATATGCATGTGAGGTTATCTACGTGGCTCCACTGTGAGTGAGTATGGGTGTATCTGAGTGCACCCTGCCATAAGATGGCATCCTGTCCAGGGTGGGTTTCTACCTGGCACTCTAAGCTGCCAAGATAGACTCTGGCCACCCAACACTCTGAATTGGAATAAGCTGGTAAATAATTTTCAGACTTATTTTTATTAATTTTTCTTAAATGTACTTACAGCCCACATTTATGTCAGTGTTTAATATTACAAGTGTTTTGGTCTTTATTTAGAAGTTTAATAATGTGGCAGGGTGTCATGGCTCATACTTGTAATCCCAACACTTTGGGAGGCCAAGGCAGGCGGATCACCTGAGGTCAGAAGTTCAAGACCTGCCTGGCCAACAGGGTGAAAACCCATCTCTATTAGAAATATGAAAAATAAGCTGGACATCATGGCAGTTACCTGTAACCCCAGCTACTTGGGAGGCTGAGGCAGGAGAATCGCTTGAACCTGAGCGGTGGAGGGTGCAGTGCTCCAAGATCGTGCCACTGCAGTCCAGCCTGGGCAACAAGAATGAAACTCCGTCTCCAAAAAGGAAAAAAAAAAAAAAGAGGTTTAATAATGTTTTTGTGACCAGAAATGTGCCATAGGAACTTATTTCTTACTTATATTAATTAGACTGTGGTAAAGTTGATTTTGTTCCATGTCATTTTGCATAAAATTGCTGTTTTCAAGAATCTACATCTGACATTAAGAGAGGATTTACTATACTTGTGTAGGGTGTCTAAAATTATACAGCATAATTCAGTATTCAGAAATGAGGCTCTTTTTCCCTTCCTGTTTCTCCCTGCCTTTTCTGGGGTGGTGTCTGGGCTCAGGAGGATGCTTTGTAGCATCATGGCCCAGGGATGGGGATGTGCGCATCTGGGCCTTGCTATTCTCTCAGACGCGTCCTGTCCTGGATGGTCTGTGGATATGGGAAGCCAGCCGGGGTGTCTGCTGACTTGTAGCTGGTCCCATTTAGCCTTTGTCATCTGCCGGCAGATGCTGATGATATATGTTGTCCCTGCCACATCCTCTCTGGTGGGAGGCTCTATGCTACTCTCTCTCCTTCAAGCCACAGGCCAGCCAGCCATGGGGAATTGTGTGTGTGTGTATGTGTCTGTCTGTCTGTGTGTGTGTGTGACTGGGTGTAGGGGGAGAAGGGAGAGAGACAGAGAGAGAGAGACTACTTCAGGCCCTGTCTCCCTGTAAGCATGCCACACTGCCTTTGCCGCTCTGCAGCTGTCATGGGTGGATGGAGACGTGTGCCTGTGTGTGGGGTGTCCCCCCAGTTCCAGGTGTACAGTGAGGCACGGCTCACTCTGCTCTGGGTTTCTCCATTCTCTTCAGCAGGTTCTCTATGTAACTCTAGGATTTCACCTGCAGGAGCTGTGCCGGGGAGCAACTTAACACTGTATCACTTGTGTCTACTCCAAACTCATCCCCTTTGCTGGTTTCTAGGTATTCTAGGTCCTTATCTGGGATGGGCTTTCGTTTCTTCCTTGGGTGGCAGAAAACAACTTAAATCACATCCTGCAATCTTCCTCTTTCACGACTCATATAAAAAACTCTGTGCTCAATCATCAAAGTTTTGGCTCTAAAGGGAGATTTTTTTTCCTTCTCACATAAATGTTTGTAGTGAGGTGAGGAACTTAAAAACTTTTCTTACTAACTTTTAATTTTGATATAACTTCAGATTTACAGTCGTAGGAAAAGCAGAAAGAATTCTCAAATACTCGTTATCCAGAGTCTCCCAATGTTAACATTTTACCACATTCCGTTTTCTCTCTCTCTCTCCACACAAGGGCACACATATATACACATACATGCACGATTATACATATAAATCAGGAAAGGATTATTATCCGGTTATCTACAGGCTTTATTGAGACTTTGCTAACTCTTCCACTAATATCCTTTATAGCAAAAGAAAAATCTCAGGATGCATATTACATTGTTGTCATATCTTTTACTCTTTGTGTTTTATGACATAGGCATTTTTGAAGAGAGTAGGCCTATTATTTTGTAGCATGTCCTCCAGTTTGGGTTGGTTTGTTTTTGCTCTGTTAGGTTCAGGTTATGTGTTTTTGGCAGGAACCACACGGAAGTGATAGTGTCTGAATGAATCAGATCAGGAAGTGCATGATGGTGATTGTCCCGGTACTCACAATGTCAGCTTTTACCACTTTAGGTTAAAATGGTGTCTACCAGGTTTTTCCGTGGTAGGGTTATTATTTTTCCTTTGGTAATTAATAAATTGTCCTGTGAAGAGATAGATACTTTGAGGCTATTATCCTATTATTCCTCAAACTGTCACCCACTAGTTTTATAATTTATTGATGATACTTACCTGAGTCAATTATTATGATGGTTACTTCCATAATTTCTTCTACACTAATTGTTTTTGAAAAAGAAGGAAGAACTTTCTAAAGGGAGACTTTTGGAATTCAGAAAATTCTTTTTTTCCCCCTTAAGAGTTAAGCTCTTACAATTGAATGCCCAACTTTTTTCTATTTTTTATTTTTCTGAGACAATCTCACTCTGTTGCCCAGGCTGGAGGCTGAAGTGCAGTGGCTCCATCTCAGCTCACTGCAACTTCCACCTCCCAGGTTTAAGTGATTCTCCTGCCTCAGCCTCCAGAGTAGCTGGGACTACAGGCACATGCCATGACGCCTAGTTAATATTTTTTTCTATTTTTAGTAGAGACGGTTTTCACTGTATTAGCCAGGATGGTCTTGATCTCCTGACCTTGTGATCCGCCTGTCTCGGCCTCCCGAAGTGCTGGGAGATTACAGGTGTGAGCCACCGCACCTGGCCAGAGTGCCCAGCTTTTGAAACTGTTGTCTTTTAAACTCAAAGCTGATCAATGGCACCTTTGTTCTACGTTGTACCCATTTCTCTCTCAGGCAGTGAATACCACTGGGAGGATGGGCAAAGAGCTGCAGGGTCACAAGAGTAATTTCACATTCTTCTCACCACCTGCGTGACACTGGCATCAGATAGTTGCTGATCACCTGTGAAAGTTTTCACTTTTGTGTATTTTCATATTTTTATGTCTTTACAGGTGTTTTAGTATAAAATTGAGTGAAACTGTTATAAGGAATTATGGGATAGGAAATAAATATATTACCACTTCAAGAATATGATGTGAATGTAACTTAAACTGATAATAAAATGTTGCCAGATTGCTGACTTGCTGAGCCTAATGAATATTGAAGACCCCCTAATAATAGTGGTTGCACCAAAAAAAAATTAAAGTTCAAAAATAATTTTAAACCTTTTTGTTTTCTAAGTAGTTTACCCCTCTCTCCCCAGGCTTACACCACAAATTTGCTAGATTAACTCATCAAAGATTGTACAAAGACTAACAATGTAATGCCAACCCCTTGTCGTAATTCATTATTATGAATTCCAAATTAGGGAGTTGGAATTGATGAATTAGTTTTTACATAGTTTTGTGTTTTGAATTTGGTGACTGTTGAGGGTGAATGTATCTTCTGCCTGCTTCCGTTGTTTGTATCATTTCACAGAGGGTGTTTGAACTTGGTTTCCTTGCTGGGAAAGGTGGTGGATCCTGTAATATCCTCAAGACCTCCCGTGTTTTCTGAGGCAAAACCGTTTCTGTGCCACAACCTGGCAGATTCTCTCATCTTAGGGTATAGAGACACACTTTTAATAACATGTTTATGTTAGCAGCATCTTGCAAATATACAGTGTCTGAATTAGCTAATGGGAGAACATAAAAATAAACTACATTGAAACAAAGAAGTTGAAAAACACACTATCCCATTTTCTTTTTTTTTTTTTTTTTGAGGTGGAGTTTTTCGCTTTTGTTACCCAGGCTGGAGTGCAATGGCGCGATCTCGGCTCACTGCAACCTCCGCCTCCTGGGTTCAGGCAATTCTCCTGGCTCAGCCTCCTGAGTAGCTGGGATTACAGGCACGTGCCACCATGCCCAGCTAATTTTTTGTATTTTTAGTAGAGATGGGGTTTCACCATGTTGACCAGGATGGTCTCAATCTCTTGACCTCATGATCCACCCGCCTGGGCCTCCCAAAGTGCTGGGATTACAGGCTTGAGCCATCGCGCCCGGCCCCCATTTTCTTTATGAAGGTGTCAAAAAATACATCAGAAAAGAAGAAAGGTAACTGCTAAGAGTCTCCCAAGTTATCTCTCGCATTCTTGTATCTTAATGACTAATCACATATTTGAAGTCTCTACCTTGGAGACCTAAAATAAAAAGAAAACTGCAATTATAGTTACTCAGTGTGCATATTCTCTGTTTTATGAATATCAAGATTTGAGTGCATCATCTCTGGAGAGTTAATGTGATATTTTAGTACACTCTTACACATTCATTTTGTGCTTAAGTTCTAGGGAAATGCTGTTTATCTTAGCTTCTATAGTTTGTTTCATTGGCTCTTGTATACAAAGATGTCATTTGTACTTGGAGGTGACATTGACATTGTTTTAAGACATTTGTATGTGTGGAGGGGATTGAAGAACACTGGAGAGAATATTAAATGTTATCTTTTTAAAGCAACTTTGTAGACAATTTCTTATTTATTTTGTGAGCATTGAACAAGTGATTTTTTAAATCAACAGGTCCTTCTCATGAGGATGAAGACAACTTTTTCTCAGTGTTTCATACTCAAATCCCTCCAGAAGAATATGAAAAGCAGATGCAGAAAGTCAGTAAAGGTATGTTTTAATTTGTGTCATTGTACATATTTTCACAAGGGAATACTAGCTGTGTACTGAAATAGTCATAAATGAAATGAGTTCATGTAATTTACTCCAGAGGTAAGTGGAGGCAGATAGGGTTCAGGATGACACAAGGTTGGTCATTGTTGCAGCTTGTTGTTCAGAGTTTGTTATACCATTCTCTCTACTTTTGGATGCTTGAAATTTTGTATGATAATAAAGAGTTAAAAAAAAACAACTGGCTGCAAGTAATTAAAACCTGGCTTAAGCAAAAACAAATCTGTGAAAAAAATTTTGGTGGGAGGCAGCTTACTTTGGTTCCCAAGAGCATACGCTGTGGCTAGACATTCAGAGGTTGGCTCAGTTCTGCAATCCTAGAGAAGAGCCTGCGTGATCCAGCTGGGTCAGGGGCTATTGCTCAACTAACTTGTTCAACCCAGCAAGGTCTGGGGTCACTGTAGGAACATGGCAGCTATATCACTACCAGACTGGAGAGAAGAGGACAGTTCCAGTGAAGACAGTTTTGGCCAGATAACCCAATGTTTTTTCCTTACTATTTATTAGAAGTATATTTTAAAGAAACTCTGTGATAAATGTAAACGTGGCTGCATTCACTTTGTATTTTTTAAATGTATTATTAAGAGTATATGAAACTTCAACTGAATAAACAAACCTCGTATTTGAACTAAAAAGGCTGCATACAACTTGAATTATTATGGAAAGAAGTGTTGCATTTTGTGTCTAAGATGGCCTTGCACCAGAAAAGTAACTCATACTTTAACTATTGGCAGTTGATTTAAAAAATAATTATGTGATTGTTCAAAAATGAAACCCCAGGTATAAAGCATAGATGTATTTGCTTATGAGCTTATATAACTTAAATTTGAATAACTTAAAGCTACTTTTGTTTGAAAAGAATTTAAATCAAGAGATCTTGCTCTTTCCCTCATTCTTTCCAGCTGTTTTCATCAAAAAATTTTTAAATGGTTATATCTGTATTGACTCTTTGATAACTAGCTATAAACACACCAATTGACTAGCTCCCTTAACCCTTTTTATTCAGGTAACCTCCCTTACAAAATTACAAAATTAACAAAATGTACAAAATTAATTTTTATGTAAACTTTGCCTGGATTGAGCTCATGACTGGTGTTTTTTTCTTATTTGAACTTTAATGTGGAAATGCATCCTGTTTTGCAGGGCAAACTGCATGTGCTATTTAAGGAGATGCATGCATATTTAAAATATGCATGCTTCTTCATGCATATTTTCAGAGCTTTAATGAAAGGTTCATATGGTCTTGTTTTAAAATCTTGTAATGTGACACAGAGAAAACAAGATATTTTATAAAGGGAATATGAATCCACAAGTATTATTCTTATTTTGAACACTCAGGGTATGAATATCTCAGACATTCACTCAAGCCTCTTCTGAAAGGTTGAGGAAAGTTGGCAAACTCAGATGGGCTTTAGGGGTTTGTGCAGATGGGAGCCAGGACATGGGACACTAACTCGCAGAGCTTGCTCAAAAGGCAGGTTAAACAAGATGCTCTGTTCAGAAAGGGTAATGGTAAATTAGTAGAAGAGTAGGGATGACCTAGTCTTGAGGGAAATTTTTTATTTTGTATCAAGACTGAAATAAAATATATATTTTAAAGTTTCCCTAACATCAGTGATTTCTTCTTCACATGTCTGTCTTGAAGTTCTATTCATATTTCCCATCATTCTCATGGAGTCAACTGGAAAAAGTTTGATACATGATAATGAATAACACAAGAAGTTTTATGAGAACTTAATTCAAAGTTATTGCAGCACATTTATCTTTTTAAGACTAGATCTCCATTATATATTAGGTTTCTGGATCTGGAATTTAGATGTTAGTTCTTCTGTGTGGGTTTTATTTCTTACATATTTTAATACATGCTTGAAGTGAACTTTTAGCATAATTGACACTTTTAATTATGAAAAAATTTTGAACTTTTTAAATACTAGATTTTACCTGTGATGTGGAAAGAAATGTATCATTGATCAAAGCAGGAAAGAAACCTTTCTCAAATACAGAAAAGATTGAGCTCAGGGGCAAACACAACCAGGATTTTATTAAGAGAAACATTGAGGTATGTACTTAGAAATGTAGAAGCCAGAATTTGGGGCTAAATGAGTTGAAAAAATGGCAGTAGTTTTGTTCAATGTCTTTAAATATTTTTTCAACCATCATAAATGTATGAATTATTGAATTAGTAGATATATTGAATGAAAACTTTTATAAACCAGTACTTCATTATTTCTGTGTTCAATCCATTACATCCTATCCTATCCTATCTCTTTTTCAAAATGCTAGCTGCAACTAGCATTTATTTCACTCTCCAGAAATAGTCTGTTTCCTGCAATTTGCAAAAACATTTATTTAGATAATAGTTTTGGACAATGTTTCTCAGATTTTAAATTGCATATTAGTAAATTTTTTTTTTTTTTAAGTAATGAGACTGATTTTATAGATAATACGTTTAGAACCTTGAATGGAAAATGTGCCTGGCAGAACAGCAGGGCTGTGCTGGAGAAGCCTACTGGTTGCCTGCCTCTTTGCTGAGCCTTCCCACAGCTGGTCACTGGCCTTGATTAGCTTCTGCTTCAAGGACCCATCTTTGGTCTTATAGGCCTTGCAGCCTGACTTGGTTTGTCTTTAAGGCAGACTCAGACTAAACAAGGGTACAAGGATTCCTGGGTTAGACCAGAATGCTCATTAATTAATTTACAACAGGAACTATAGTGAGGAGGACAGAAGCTCTGCTCACCCCTTGAGCAGTGGCACAAGAAAACCACCTGGGCGAGTGGAGAGTATTGACAAGGGAGAGTTGCTTAATTCCTCACACTTGAAGCCTGATCCTTTCCCCACAATTGGCACATCATTTCAGGCAGACTGGATTTGTGGGGCAGCCTGCCGCTGCCGGGACTGGCCTCGGGGACTCTCGATTCTTGTGCTCCGCATTCTTATGATCTTCTTCAGGAAAACTTCTCTGTCTTGATCTGCCATTGTCTTTGCACTGGTCCCTTGTATGTTTATTTACTGTTCAATTTTCAAGAGCAATGGAGCTCCCCCCTTACCTGGGTTCTTGCTGACACAGATAGCAGCTCTGCCGTAGATTTCTCTTTCTCCTTTTTAACAATAGTAACTAAATATTTAAATTCCTCATATGTTAGTCTTGAAATTTAAAAGCAGTTTCATTTAGTGGATAAGTGCCCCAAAGAAATAGCAAGAAGATTTCTTCCAAATGTCTCAGTAAGTATGTTTTTGTATTTATATTGTTTTATCTATAATAGGTTTGAAAACTGCTCATATTATTTTTTTATTTTTTTATTTTTTTGAGTCGGAGTTTCGCTCTTGTTACCCAGGCTGGAGCACAATGGCGCGATCTCGGCTCACCACAACCTCCGCCTCCCGGGTTCGGGCAATTCTCCTGCCTCAGCCTCCCGAGTAGCTGGGATTACAGGCACGCGCCACCATGCCCAGCTAATTTTTTGTATTTTTAGTAGAGACTGGGTTTCACCATGTTGACCAGGATGGTCTCGACCTGTTGACCTCGTGATCCACACGCCTCGGCCTCCCAAAGTGTGCTCATATTATTTTTTAATAAAATGTCTGTTGGAATGGTTAACAGGAGGGCCTGCTTATAGGGATGATATCTTTGGATATTAGAGAATGTAGCTTTACAAACATTTTGACATAAATAAAATTACATAGCAAATGTAAAATGCCTAATCTCACAGATTTTCTCTTTGTGTATCTGTATTGTAGAATTCTCAGGTCCCATTTTTATTTTCCTGAACTATGAATTTCTTTGAGTATATAATGTTTTCTATTAATAAATTCTGTAGTTGGCCAAGGAATCAAGAAACCCAGTGGTTATGATTGACAGAGAGAAGAAAAGGCTGATTGAGCTTTTGAAGGACTTGGATGATAGAGATTCTGGGCTCTCCAGTTCTGAGGTATGTAAACTCTTGATAGTCAGGGAACTCTACACTTCTTAATTTTGATTTTATAAAGCCATATTATTGACCCAGCAGCACAATTTACAGTAATTTTTCAGATTCTGAGACATTATTCTCTGACTTTAAAAAAATCCTGTTTTACTAACACAGGAACAGATAATAACATACTGCATGTTCTCACTGTAAGTGGGAACTAAATGATGAGAACACGGCCGGGCGCAGTGGCTCAAGCCTGTAATCCCAGCACTGTGGGAGGCCGAGGCGGGTGGATCACGAGGTCAAGAGATCGAGACCATCCTGGTCAGCATGGTGAAACCCCGTCTCTACTAAAAATACAAAAAACATTAGCTGGGCATGGTGGCGCGTGCCTGTAATCCCAGCGACTCAGGAGGCTGAGGCAGGAGAATTGCCTGAACCCAGGAGGCGGAGGTTGCGGTGAGCCGAGATCGCGCCATTGCACTCCAGCCTGGGTAACAAGAGTGAAACTCCGTCTCAAAAAAAAAAAAAAAAAAAAAATGATGAGAACACATGGACACGTAGAGGGAAGCAGCACACACTGGGGCCTGTTAGAGAGAAGAGGCTGGGAGGAGGGAGAGGATCAGGAAAAATGACTGATGGGTGCTGGGCTTAATGCCTGTGTGACAGAATCATCTGTACAGCAAACCCCCATGACACAGATTTACCTGTATAACAAACCTGCACATGTACCTCGGAACTTAAAATACAAGTTAAAAAATTTTTTTTCAAATCCTGTTTTGTACCATTATTTTTATCGAAGTTTTCAAATTTATTCTTGGTCAATTCATTACTGACTTTCAAAGGATGATTTTATGTCATGGTAAGTAAGAGTGATTATACACTGGTTATCACAGTAACTTCTGCCTGTGCTGTGATATGATATGAAGGTATTTTTCTGTTTCCTTTTCTTATCATCCCTAAACTGGTTTTATGGTATTTCAGTGTCGTCTTCAGTAATCCTAAAGAGTTCCATTCCGTTCCTGCCCAGTTAACCTTGAGCAGCCAGTTCCCTGGAGAGTCCTGGGGTTAACAGGAGGGCCTGCTCATGGTCAAAGTCTGGGGTTGGGGGAAAGAGACTAAACTGAAAGAGGGGAACAGCATGTAATGGGGGTGGGGTGGGGCGAACGCAGGTATTTATAGGGCCTGGGAAGGTCACCTAAAGAGTGCTGTGGCCCAGTGTTTGCACTTGTTTATATTACTAAACTTGAGGAATATTCTTTGCTTCCGTGAAGAAATACACTCTCCTGTGTTCCTTGAAGCACTTAGCCCTACTGTCTACTCCCCTATGTGTAATAAGGACGTGATGGAGTGAATGCACCTGGCGCCCTGCCCGTATCCCCTTTCCCTGACACCTGTCTGTGCATCCATGCTCCAGCCCTGTGCTAAGGGTGTATAGCTGTTCCCTTACCTGGAGAATTTCCCTGAGCCAAATGGGAATCAGACAGCCCAGGATATCACTCCTTCCCCACCCCAGACCCCTTACCTAAAGGTGGGATTAGCTCTATGGTGCCACGTGTCCTCCAGAGCTTCATCAGGGATTAGACTGAAGCTGGTCTTTGGCTGAGACCACATCCTAGCTTGTCTCTGTGTCCTTGCCCTTGTCTGTTTTCCTCATGTTCCTGCTCCCAAAGGTACCCTCCCAGTGAACTACTTGAACAAGAATCCTTGTCTTAGTTTCCACAGTGAGGGACACAGAGATTCAGAGGGTAGTTTTTTTGGCTATGGGTCCAAAAGCAGTGCATGTGCAAGTGATCCCTGTGGCCAAGAAGGGAGGATGTGCCCGTTCAATGGGCGTTAACACTCAACATCCACTGGTGGCTGCTCCATGGAAATCCCAGACCAGGGCTGCCTGGATCTTCCAGTTTTTTAAGGGAAACTAGAAATTCAGATTTTTTAATGGGAAACATTAAACTTATAAAATGTTCACAACTGCTCCTATTTAAAAAAAGTTCTGCCTGGGCAAACAAAATATCCTACCTTCCACCAAAAATCAAAAACTTATCTGCAGAATATCACAGATAATAATCCTCTAAATAATCCTGCCTGAGATAGTGAGGTCCCAGCGGGGGCTGTGTCTAGGAACAGATGAAGGTGTTGCTATGCCTGGGGCTGATGAAATAGGGGAAAGGGGTGGCGAGGGAAACTGCTAAATGCCCACATAATTCTGAGATATTTTAGCTTTGCTGACTTATGGTACAGTCATGTGCCACATAATGATGTTTTGGTCAACATGCATATACGACAGTGGTCCCATAAGATAATAATGGAGCTGAAAAATTCCTGTCACCTAGTGACACCATAGCTCTATATTTTAGAGTGCGCTCCTTGTACTTATATATAAAAAAGTTAATTGTAAAACAGCTTTAGGCAGGTCCTTCAGGAGGAATTTCAGAAGACAGCATTGTTGTCATAGGAGATGATAGCTCTGTGCTTGTTACTGCTCTTGAAGACCTTCCAGTGGGACAAGATATGGAGTGGATGACAGTGATATTGATGATCCTGACCCTGTGTAGGTCTAGACTAATGTGTGCTTTTGTGTCTTAATTTTTTACAAAATTTTAAATATAGAAAAAGAAAATTTTAGGCCGGGTGCGGTGGCTCACGCCTGTAATCCCAGCACTTTGGGAGGCCGAGGCGGGTGGATCACAAGGTCAAGAGATCGAGACCATCCTGGTCAACATGGTGAAACCCCGTCTCTACTAAAAATACAAAAAATTAGCTGGGCATGGCGGCGCGTGCTTGTAATCCCAGCTACTCAGGAGGCTGAGGCAGGAGAATTGCCTGAACCCAGGAGGCGGAGGTTGCGGTGAGCCGAGATCGCGCCATTGCACTCCAGCCTGGGTAAAAAAAGTGAAACTCCGTCTCAAAAAAAAAAAAAAAAAAAAGAAAAAAAGAAAAAAATTTTAAAATAGGAAAAAGCTTATAAAGAAAAACTATTTTTGTACAGCTGTAAACTATGTTTGTGTTTTAAGCTAAGTGCTATAAGAGAATGAAAAAGTTAAAGAAATGTAAAAGTATAAAAGTTACAGTAAACTAAGATTCATTTCTTATTCAATAAAGAAAAATATTTTAAAATAGATTTAGTGTACCCTAAGTGTAGAGTGTTTATGAAGTCTACGGTAGCAGCCAGTAATGTCCTAGGCGTTCACATTCACTCACCACTTACCTGCCGACTCACCACTTACCTGCCGACTCACCAGAGCAGCCTCCAGCCCTGCAGGCTCCACTCATGGTGAGTGCCCTATACAGGTGTGCCGTTAAAAAAATATTTATATTTTTTGAGATGGAGTTTTGCTCTCGTTGCACAGGCTGGAGCGCAATGGTGTGATCTGGGCTCACTGCAACCTCTGCCTCCCACGTTCAAGCAATTCTCCTGCCTCAGCGTCCCGAGTAGCTAGGATTACAGACATGCTAATTTTGTAGTTTTAGTAGAGACAGGGTTTCACCGTGTTGGCCAGGTTGGTCTCAAACTCCTGACCTCAGGTAATCTGCCTGGCTTGGCTGCCCTAAGTGCTGGGATTACAGGCGTGAGCCACTGCGCCCAGCCTTAAAAAGATTTTTATACCATATTTTTATTGTACCTTTTCTATGTTTTAATATGTTTAGATTCACAAGTACTTCCCATTGTGTTACAGTCATCTACAACACAGTAACTACAAAATACACTGTGCAGGTTTCTAGCCTAGGAGCAATAGGCTTTGCAATGTGGCCTTGGTGTGTGGTACACTCTACCATCGAGGTTTGTATAAGTACATCCTGTGATTTTTATGCAGTGACAGAATTGCCTGATGATACATTTCTTAGAACATATCCCTGTCATTAAGCAACACATAACTATAATTTGTCTACTTTATTAACAAAAGCTCAGATAACCATAAGAATTAAGGGATCTGGGTTTCATTCTGGTTTTGTTATTAATTGTGAAATTGTGTAAACTGCTACCATGGTCTCGCTGGGCATCAAACTATGGCATGCAAGATTTTCTTTATACAGTCTAGGAAGGCTTTCATAATGACTTTTTGTTAATAATACTGCCTTTTGCATATTATTTTTGTTAGTATTTAGGTCTCATCTTTTTATTTTAAGCTCATCTCAATCATTTTAGTTTTAGATCTTTTGTAAGTACTATGTAGCTGGGCTTTGCTGTTGCTTTTGTGTCTTCATCTTTGTTTCTTCATCCTTTATCTTTTGTTATTATCAATATGAGGTTATTTAAGTTACTCATATTCATTATGACCACATACTTTTTGAATTGTTTGCTGACATCAAATTGTACATTTTGTTTATCATATTTGTTTTTTCTTTATCTTCCTTTCCTCTTGTGGTTTGCAAATTTAATATCCTATTTCTGATCTGGTACTGTTAACCTTCAAGTTTTAAAAATACATTAAAATGAATATTTTCTTTTCAACTTCGACAATTAGTTTCTAAAGTTTCATATTTTAACAAGATTGGATCTTTGGTGTACTTTTATTTCCCTGAGTTTCATTTTCTTTCCTCCAGGATATATTGAGATCATCTGGAATTTTAGTTCTAGAATATTATACTTTTATAATCTTTACCTTTAAAAAGGCTATGCTTCTTGTGTGTCAGAAATTTTTCTCAAAAAAATTTAGCCAAAATTTTTAGCCACACCATTAACAGTGAATTTGGACTCAACAAATTATTTGTATAAATCATTCCTTGAGTTATTTTTCTGGAACTTTTTTGAAAAATTTTGCCCAAGAAATGGTGGACTGTGGATAATTTTTGAGTGTGTATTTAAATATTTATTTTTTTCCTCATTTGAATGTTAACTTAGCAGTTAACAAATTTTACATGAAAAATCCTTTTTTTCTTGAAATATGTAGGATTTTCTCCTTATTTTGGAGTTTATGATTTTATCAGATTATATTTATGTGTGTCTTTAAAAACAGTTCCATTCTTGCTTGGTAAGCTCTTTCTATCTGAAGGTTCAAATCTTCCTTCAGCTCAGAAAA